AAGCATGTGTGGTCTCAGGGTGTCAGGTAAACAAAATAACATTGATTTTAACCTTCATTTAGGAGAAATTGGATTCCTGTTGTATAATTCAACAGTAAGATCTTGTGGTCACTGAAGAAACATTGTAATCTACAAGCCACTGTATAAGAGTCATATGAATCTTTAGTTTGGATATTAGAGGCAATGACCATACAAATAGTGGTCCAGCAGCTGTATTCTATCAAAAATCTCTTTAACTCGGCAGTTCATGTGTTTTGAAAAGAAATGTTTCGTGTTGAGAAGTATGGATTGTAGAAAGTTTCAAGTAGCATGACATTTGTCTGATGCAAGTGATGGTATGAAAGGTACTAGTCATCAAAACGTTGCACATAAAAACTTGGCTGGTTGTGCTGCATGAACCTTTCTGCAATCTTTAAATACATCAATAAAGACATCATCATTCTTTTGCATTCTTTCATATTTTTGAAAAATAATGCCTAAACTTTTAGCAATCTTTAACAGTGTATAATTTTCCAAAACATTTCCATAAATTGTAACTATTTACATATGCACTAGTCTATAATAAAAACAAAGAAACAGGAATTGGTAAGAGAAGGTAAACACAATTTGTTTTGGCCAAGTCGCATGATATACCTGAAAATATCTGTAATTTCACTAGACAGATGTCGGAGGCTTGTAGATTGCCTTGCAGGGAAAGCTGGTGAATTTTCCACAAAATTCATAAGCATGGTATAATGCTATTGAAAACTATAGAGCAAGTATTAGTGTAGAAAATAAATAGGGGATGCAACATCAACTTCAGATGTATATCATGGGTTTCTTTCTGTTTGTGCTGTAAAATTTGACATAAAATACTTCCAATTGTACCTTCTGTCAATGAAATTTCTTAAAAGAATGTTGAAGATAAAAGTGCACCAAGTAAGAGCTTGAAAAAGGTACAAGAATTTAATGACAGATTCAATCATTGAAACAGTACTTTAATTAGTTTTGCAGTTTTAAAGGTATGGTTCCAGTTTGATTACATCTATCATCTTCATCAGACTATTAAAATACCTTAAGTGGGCAGATGGTTATGAATCAAGATTCTACGTAAATAACTGCATTTAGCAAATTTGACTCCATTCATGAAGTTTTCCTCCTAAAATTATAATAACAATGGTCCTTATACGCGTAACCATGCTTGCTAATAAACATTGTAAACAAATTCAGGGAACCATTGTAGGCTGAATTCTAATCCATCATTAAATTAGATTGTATTAACACTAAATACAATTGGTTTGGTTTTCGAAAACGTTTTTCTATCAATTTTGGTGCATCTTTGTGAAATCACCATAACAGTGTGTTTTCCTTGAACAGGAACGTTCCCTACCGAGTACGTGTGAGGCTAGCTCGTAAGAGGAACGACGACGAAGACTCCACTAACAGATTTTACACACTTGTGACATATGTACCCTGTGCAACCTTTAAGGGTAAGTATATAGCGTTGGATGAACTTGCCTTTGTTTTCGTGATGCAAAATTGTATATTCAGTTGAATATTTCTTTCAAAATTCTGTGACATGACTTATTTTCGATCAAAATTTCAAATCAGTACATGTGTATTTCTCTTCTACTGATACATTCATGGAGTTCCATTATAAATTGTACACCTTGAACCATGTCGACCATATTGATAATTAAATGGGGGAAAAAACCTGGAAGAGTTTATATTAAGATTTGCAAATTTTTCGTTGTATTTATTGTCTTTTTTCTTGATTTTCAGGTTCACAGACAATAAACGTGGACAATGAATAAATTATGTGTACAAATCTGGTAATAAAAAAAAAATACTAAAAAAAAACATTTATTGACTTTGTCATGTTTAAATGTGGTTGAATATAAACATTTAAGAACAGCAGTAGAGACCTTTATGCAAGGCTCCAAGAAATTTCCATTTCTCAAGGCTAACATTTCTTTTGATGAGCTGTCTTGTTATAATGTTGAAAAGATTATTCCAGCATTTCTCGAGAGAAACTCCAGGTCTACCAAACATTGTTCTAATAACACTATTGCAGTTTTTCGTGTGAAGTAGGTGCCCCACAGATGGACTTAAATGTAAAAGACTAACTGATGGAAGGATTGCTGATCATATGACTGGAAATGCCAAGGTTGTAGATAATGAAATGAAATATGTCCAGACCAATAGAGAGACGGCGCTTAACTTCTGGAGCAACTCGGTCATACCATAACATGTAACCTTGAACTTTCAATCAGTCTCAAAATTGAACATAAATAATTTCAGACTAAAAATATATTTGTAAAAATTTATAAAGATTTACTAGTTTCTGAGAAATAACAATCATGCAGTTGTGCGATCTCTCAATGAATCTGCAAAACTACAGACTAAAGGAAACATGTATATGAAATTTAGATCCATCCAGCACTTTTGAAAATAGTAATAGAATATTGTTTAAAGTATGAAGGGCAATTTGACCAGTTCATCATCTGATGTTTGGCTTTTAAGTAAAAAGGTACTATATAGACTTAATGCAGGAATGATGATGCTGAAAGTTGGTACAAGATGAATGGTGAATGGGAAAGTACCGGTAGTTAAACGGTTCCATGGAAAGATGGGTGTGCCAGTGCAACATAACTTGATGGCTGATTTTAGGTAATGGCAGAATTGAAAGATCAAGCTAGCCTGTGTGAAGTGTTAAATGGAAATCCCAGTAAGTGACGATGAAACTTGACATCAAGGTTTGTTTTGATTTGTATTATTTTACGGCCGGCCAATCAACAATTTAGGTAATTTAGGACCAAACAACAGTGTAAAAATAGACAAACAAGAAACAAAAGGTTAAACTGTGTAAAGATGTCAAAATATATTGATAGCAAACAAATTGTTTATAAAATACATCATATCTTATAGAGATTAATTGAATGTAAATAATCATGGATTGATTGCACAAGTACAGAAATTACTGTATCGATTACCAGGTAAACGTTTCGTAGAGGGTTCATTATAAAATCTGTCGCATATTTGTTTGAAATCGGCGCAAGCACTTTTATAAGAAACCACACTGTTCAAAAAGTGATAATGTGATGCGTTGTCAAGAACACCAGCTTTTAGCCAAATTAGAGAAATCACTGTTTAAATATTGACCTTGAGGCAGTGTCGAGGACTCTGTCACAAAATCCCTTCAAATACCATAGTGGTGACATTGAGGGACATATTCTTCCTGTAGCCTTGATTGTGACATGGAGAAACAATGTCCGATATTGATGTTCCATCTTCAAAATGTGTCCAAACAACCTTGTATGGCCTGGAGTCGTGATATTCAGCTGAAGCTTCCAGAATGAAGGGCTATTACATCTCTCAAAATAATAAACTGACTTGTCCCGCAAAGGTAAAGTGTGTTGGAATTTTCAAACAGAATCACTATGCGCAAAATTAAAGTTGAAGAGTCGGATGTTACTGTATACATGTAATACATGGTTAGTCAGGGTTTATATTTACATGCAGTTGGACAAAATCTTGTCATTCCTACAACAAAAGGAGGAATTTGAAGAATTTGCTATGTTTCCACTATTTGGCCCAGTTCCTCTGCCCCCAGGAGGGGCCAGACCCAACGTTGATACAAAATTAGTTCCCCTTCACCCAAGGATGCTTTAGACCAAATATGGAGATAATCCTGTCATTCCTACAGAAGAAGAAGGATTTTAAAGCTATTTTCCCTATTTGGCCCCACCCCTCTGCCCACACTCACTGCTTATACAAAATTGAGTTTGTTTTGCCCAAGGATGTTCCAGCCTTAATTTGGATGAAATCCTTTAATCCCTATGGTAGAAGTATTTTATTCAGGTTTTACCTCTATTTCCCCTTTTTGGCCCTGCCCCACTGCCCCCATAGGGTCCACACCCACTGTTTATACAAAATTCAGTTCCCTTGGCCCAAGGATGCTCCAGACTAAATTGGGATATAATCCCTAAGGTAGAGGAAGGGTTTTAAAGGTTTAACAATTCACCTATTTGGCCCGTCCCACACCTACTGTTTATACAAAATGAAGTCCCCTTGGCCCAAGGATGCTCCAGACTAAATTGGGATAAAATCCCTTAATCCCTAAGATAGAAGAAGGGTTTTACCTCTTATTTCCCCTATCTGGCCCCGCCCCACACCCACTGTTTATACAAAATGAAGTCCCCTTGGCAGAAGGATGCTCCAAACTAAATTGGGATAAAGTCCCTTAATCCCTAAGATAGAAGAAGGGTTTTACCTCTTATTTCCCCTATTTGGCCCCGCCCCACACCCACTGTTTATACAAAATGAAGTCCCCTTGGCACAAGGATGCTCCAAACTAAATTGGGATAAAATCCCTTAATCCCTAAGGTAGAAGAAGGGTTTTAAAGGTTTTACCCCTATTTGGCCACGCCCCTCTGCCCAAATGGGGTCAACACCCTCTGTTTATACAAAATTAAGTCCCCTTGGCCCAAGGATGCTTCAGACTAAATTAGGATAATATCCCTTGATCCCTACTGTAGAAGAAAGATTTTAAAGGTTTTACCTCTATTTCCCCTGTTTGGCTCTGCCCCCAGGGGGGACACACCCACTGTTTATACAAAATTTAGTTCCCTTGGCCAAAGGATGCTCCATACTAAATTGGGATAAAATCCCTTAATCCCTAAGGTAGAAGAAGGGTTTTAAAGGTTTTACCCCTATTTGGCCACGCCCCTCTGCCCCCAGGGGACCACACCCACCATTTATACAAAATTGAGTCCCCTCAGCCTAAGGATGCTCCAGACCAAATTTTGTCAAAATCTACTTAGCCGTTCAGGTCAAGTAGCGTTTTAAAGGAAAAGTTGATAGAGGACGGAAGACAGACGCAGCTGTATGGCAAAAGCTCACCATGGTTCTTTGGACCAGGTGAGCTAAAAACCTGTTTTTTCCCAAAAAAATCTTTGAAAATAGGAAAAATTAGTACAACCATTTTACAGTTGAAGACAAAATCAACAATGAAAATGATTTGAAATAATTTATTAATCATCTCGTCCATGGACAGAAGAAAAGACATACAAAATTCAAATTTGTACACCTGCACCAAATTTAACAATAAGATGTGGCATGTTTTACTGCCGTAAGTTTTCAATACATTGAAGGTACATCAAATAATCAAAGAGCAGTAAAAGAATAATTGGCCTTTGTTGATGCTCGTGAAAACTTTTCATAAGCATGTTTGCTACCGTGTAGATTTACTCTGATAGTATTACATCGATCAGTACAGCAAAACGTGTTTATATCAAACCTCAGCTGACCCTTAAATTTTTTAATTTGTTTTTGGCAAAAAGACTTTCTCAAGAGCTGCATACTTACCAGTACAAATGTATTCACAAATGCATAATTATACTATCATCTAGAATTAACAAATACAGGGACATTGTACTAAAACTTTTAAATAAACATTTAAATTTTTAATAAACATGCCAAAGTATTAAATAAATTTGTTCCTAGAGCTATATTGAACACGTTTTACTGTACAATACTTGTCTTACACAGATTTTTTTTTATTCTCATAACAGGATACTGAGCTGCATATAGATGCACTGAACTTAATAGTTCTTCACCTCAAAAATCTCCTTTGGCAGCTGTAATATTTGGAACATATACGTGTATTACCAACAGAACATTAAAAGAAACATACGGTATATTCATACCAAAATATTTGTTTTTTTAATAAAAGAATATTCAGATTAACACCAATATCTGATGGCCCCGATTTATCAATTGACGCTAATTCCCATTAAAGTTGGCTTTATACAAAATATCTTTAAAACAATATCATGTGTTTGAAGTTGCACTAGCCCTTTTAACATATTAATTTGATCTGGCTTAAATATACTAGTGGAGTTATTTCAATCGAAGATCCAAATAGTTCATGACAATCAGAAGTCAAATTATTCCTCCTCTCTTTACAAAGTGAGGCAAAAAGAAATTGCTTAAAGAATAATTAAGCAATTAATAGTTATGCAGGAATAAAGGCACATAATTACTGAATAAGTGTTGAAAGGTATGTGTACTTCAATTTTGATAAAAATGGACACATTTCATCCTACTCCTGATTCTCTTGTTCTGGCCCAGAGCAGTTTTACAAAATTAAGCTTCTTAAATTTCATGATACAACGTTATTGAACGTTCTTGATGATGGAGGCACACACAAAAAGAATAATTTCAATTTTAAACATTAAATGGAACACAGACTGCATGTTAAATAGATGTTCAATGAATTAACTACAGTTTACGATATTTGGTCTTTATCATGACCATAATGTAAAGGGAATGTACATGTTGTGTCAGTATTTTAAAGTACAAATTTTAATATATCGGAGATGTACTATTCCACTAGCCCGGCACCTGCGGCTTACCAACTTTATATCTGGGCTAGTGATTTTATATCTAGTAGAATTTTGCAAAAACAGCCTGCAAACTAATACTGGAAATATGGAAATGTGTACACATGTAGCCCTGTAGCCCTGCATATATTATTTCGGGACAATCTAGCTCTTAAGCTAAATTATAATGTCATTCTCAAATGAAACTTCAGTCCAAATTTATTTCTTTGGCAAAACCTTAAATTTAATCACAAAACCTACTTGTAGAAAAAAACACTACAATAAAGCAAACATCCTTTGAATTAAGGATGCCAGCATAACATTTCATACATATTGAAAATCTTACCAATTAGTATGAAATGATCAGTCTACGTATTACATGAATGTTGAAATGAAATCATGTGCCCGAGTTCATTGTTGATTCTTCACTGTTCTAGATCTAAACAAAGCATTTACTGTAATGGTTAAAAATGTTATACTGTTGAACTAATAGGTATATGCTACCTTAGACATTGTGTCTGAACTAAATAACATAAATTACGTTTTTGTACTTTAAAAGGTATTATCAAATAACTATCCAAAACAATTATAACTTGCATACATCATGAGTATAAATACCTTACTAGTAACTAAGTATAAAATTCTTTTAGAAAAACAATAAACAATATGTATCATTAATTGTTCTGATGAAAAGTACTTCATTGTATTCAACATCCAATATAGACACTAGCATGAACATACTGTAAGCATACATTTTGCTTCATTAAAAAATACAAAAAAAAACGTATTCATTGAAAGTGCCCACCACCGACTAAAGCACTTTTTTTTATATAAATTTTTCCATTTAACTACCCAGTAATATATAACTGGTCTAATTGCCAAGTGTCTAGTGAAATAAATAATGACAGGTAAAGCACAAGGAGGAGATCTCGAGATGTACAATGTACCAGGTTTGACAATTTGTTTTTAAAAACCCAAGATACGAATATTTGCCTTCTGACCTAAAAACCTAGAGCTCTTTCATTCTAAGGACGCATGTTAACTTCTTATAATGCCACATATACATCTCGATGTATTGAAATCAGAAGCTGAATGGATACTAACTGGCAACTATGTCAGAAATTGATTGAATTGAGAAGACACCGATACAAAAGAAAAGACATTAACAACATGAACCAAGGGGACAACAAAACGTAAGGAAGAACACAATATCTCTGCACAGGCAACAAGGTGTAACCAGGTCACAGATCCACAGGTAACGAGGTGTAACCAGGTCACAGATCCACAAGTAACAAGGTGTAACCAGGTCACAGATCCACAGTCTGAGCTATAAATGCAGCATATAGTGTAAAATCAATTTGAGAAAGCATTCCTTCTTTGACCATTCTCCTGGCCTCACCTTAACTCAAATGAGGTGACCATATAATAAATATTGAACATTACAAACTTTTACCTGTGTTTCTGATTATAGAATAAACTGACCTCATTTGGTAATTAAAAATCTAATGATTCAATCATGTAGTTGTTCTGATGACAGCAGCCAAACTGTTGCTAATGTCATGATTTATTAGATATTTACCTAAATCAAACTTTTGCATGGTTATTTTTGTTTTATCACAATATGAAATGGGACTCGACAAGGTGAATTTACCCAAAATTAAAGCTAAGCTAGACAATAAATACACAAAAAGGTAATTGTACTTTGGACGATACATGTATTTCATCAACAACAAAAATCACAACAGAAGATATGTATATATATGTAAGCCACATTTATACAATAACATATGTATACAAATTGTACCAGCACCCAATTTCTTGTGAAAGGAGTCAAATGTCATGATGACTTCATTGAATGGATGGAGTTCTAACTGCACTTTTCTTAAATGTTTTGAAAGATATTTGTTATGTAATTCACTTTTAAACTGTTATTATTTCAAAATAATTTTTGAATACATATATCAGAAAATTTTCCACATATGTAGGAGAAATGTATAATGAGCAAAACCTTCATGAAAATCTGAACAACTTTTCTTCTATTTTCATATACAGTACATTTCACTTAATATCATGCCTCTTAATGTCAATTTCTGGTTATTATCATTTTTCTTGATGCACTAGATTTCCTGTTATATAATCTATGTAATTCCATTCTTTGTATATATATTTATATATATGTTTATAAAGCAACACCAAGAATTCTTTAGGTATATTTTTCTAACAAAATTTTGTATAATCTTTCAGAAACCAACTTCTTTTCTTATGAACAAAAATGTGTCATTGAAATTTAATTCAATGTATATATATTGTGAAAATCAACTTTTGCTGTATCACATAATTTACATACATGTATCAACAAAAGGTAATAACATTTTTTTAGACTGCAAACCAAACCTTAGGGTTTGAATTACCAGAAATATCGGACAGATGCATGCGAGTAGTAATTTCTGACATGTAATTACCACATTGATGATTTGAACTGTTTAATCTGGTTATAAATTCATCCTAGGAAGCGATTATTTGAAGAAATTCCATTATCTTAACATGACCTGCATGTACAATGTCTTTGTTTTAGAAGTCTAACAATATTATTTTGTTCAAAATAATAATAGACATAAGAATTATTTACCCCATTATGCGTTTAGAATTTTGATTTCAAGGTTTCACAGCTTCATAACAGCTTAGGTCATACATATGAACAAAAGTCTCACATCGATACATGTATATGTGTTTAATTGATATGTATATACGACAGTATTGAAAAGTTCTGAAAATCACAGCAACACCCATGTAGAACCAATTGGAAAGCCATTAAATAAATAAAATGGGTTAGGCTTAAATCTTACATTGCTTGTCCTTCATAAACATAAGGTGTCCTTATTCCAAATGGTATAAGGGCAAGCTTTAATTTTCATCCCAACTGAATCGGAATTAAGAAAAAAATATTGTTAGACAAATTCTTATTCCGTTTCTTACATGTAAACTAGTATCTATTTAATGTGCTGCAGAAAAATGGGTTCAAACAAATTGAAAAAAGACAGATTAAGAATATATGTGGCAAATACTGTGATCGTTAAAAGAGATCTCAGATTTATAAATATATTTTCTTCACAACCAAGTCATATTGTCATCAACTTCTGTACTGCTCACATCCAGAGGATCGATGCCAAGCTGAGAGGGCATGATCTTAACCCCATGCATCTTCAGCATGTGTCTTTGTTTACTGTCTGCCCGCGAGTAAAACTTTCCGCAAACTGAACACTCAAAAGTATGATTTCCACATGTAAACTTTTCATGTCTCATTTTAGACTTTCTGGAAGCAAATCCAGTGCCACATTTTTCACAATAAAACTGTTTAGCTTCTCCCCTTATCAGGGAATCTCCCTCCTCAAAACTTTGATTTGCAGAGGAATAACCAATTGGACTAGATATGTTGGGTGATGTTGAGTTGTCTAAACCAGATATCCTAAGGGGAGATAACTGTGATGGCCCCACTGTCCCAACCACCCCTGAACTTGACGCCTCCATGAGAGAAGGTTTGTGAAGAAGGGACACAAGTTTGGGCTCATTTTTCTTCTTCTTTGTTCGCCTAAGTACCGCTGGTTCCCTGTTTAGTGTGCTAAGTGGCGTGTCACAGCCACTAGACTGCGACATGCCGTCGTCGTCTGATCTCTCCTCTCCTACCATTGAGTAGCTCTTCACATTCTTCCAGTCATTAACACTACTTGCAGAAAAGTCAATTATGGATGTAGATGGACTTATGTAATGTAGTTCAGCATTTTTGTCTGAGGAAAGTTTAGAAAGCTGAGAATTTCTATCATTGTCCAGGAACATGGACGACATGTTCAATTCTTTATCACTACCTGTTTTGATGAGGCAATTTCTCAGTAGAGACACTTGATTGGTATTCTTGCCCACCTCAAATGCTGTATTTCCTTGAACAGAATGTATTATCAGGGGAGATTTCTCAATTACAGGGGAGTTATATTCTGGATCTTCTGGTTCAGTTTTCACAACAAATGATTCACTAGAATTTTCAGTATTGTCATGGTTCTTTGCTGAGTCTCTCTCATCTTCATTCATATCTTGGTCATCTTGTTCGTCTGTTGATTGAGATCCTGCTTGTTCTGTTTCAACTCTACCTAGTTCCTTGTTGTAAATCATAAATTTGCCTCTTAGTTCTCTACGCTGAGTTTCACACTTGGGTACAAAAGGTGGTGTGATTTCCTGTGAATCTGAGTCACTCCTCCCCATCACAGCATCAGAGTAATTCTCCTTTTGATCAGTTTGTCCACAACTAGCACTACTTATGTCACCAAAATCTCCATAAGCATCATCTATTGGTTCCTCTTTTATGGCTACTTTTTCCTCATCTGATGAATTGGAACTGTCTTGAGGTTCATCCTCCTCAATATTATTCTCCTTGTTTCCAGACATTGTTTGGTCCACATGAGATTTAGGTTGATTTAAAGGGAGCTGACTGACCCTCAACAAGCGTCCCTGTTTGTCTCGAGTAACAAACAAGGTATTCTCAGTGTTTTCGGTATCGCAGCAGTCCATGGACATTGAAGGAGATTTGGTTTGGCTCCAGGGTTGATACTGTGTCACAGAACTCTTCTTCATCTTTCTCCTATTTGAACTGGATTTATTTGTTTCACCATGTTTCAGCTGACCAGACAACCCAGCGTCTACCTTAGCCGCATTGAGTTTGATCCTGAAGTTGTGTTTCTGCCTACACATGAGACGCTTCCGTTTCTTGATTTGCATTTGAATTCCTCTAGCAATGCCTAGGGTACTCTCCACCTTGGATGCATGGATACCATTTGTTGAAGTGTTTTTGAAGTTTTCCCGAGGCACAACTTGGTGTATTTTTATGATATTTTGTTGAGATGAGTTAATAGCAGACAGACATATGATAGCATCCACTTCCATATCTGCCAAGGCTGTATAGTGGTTCCTACAAATTTCCAACAGGGACTGGCGCAACATTCGACAGACCTCATTGTTGCGAGATAAAGCTTCCTCATCCATCTTTTGGTCAGTATCTTACTAGGCAATTACCTGAAAGAAATAAACAATGTATCATCAATGCCATCTGTTTCATTGTAAAATTGTACAAACTAAATCAATATGATCTAAAGGTGGCCGTACCAATGAACAAGAGGCCCAGAGGGCCTGTATCGCTCACCTGAATATAATTAAAGTAATTGGTATGAAGTAAAGATATAGCACTCCATGGTAGATGCTGTTAGTACATATGAAATTTCAGAAAGATCCATCCAGTACTTGAGATATAGAGAACAAACTTCAAACAGAGCCGCCCCTACGGGGGTCATACCCACCAATTATACAAAATTGAGTCACCGTCACCCAAGGATGCTCCACACTAAATAAGGATAAAATCCCTTCATCCCGATGGTCGGAAAAGGATTTAAAAGGTTTTACCTCTATTTTTCCTATTGGGCCCGCCCTTCTGCCCCCCCCCTCCCCTCGGAGAGACCACACCTACTGCTAATACAAAATTGAGTCCCCTTTGTCCAAGGATGCTCCAGACTAAATTAGGATAAAATCCCTTAATCCCTATGGTAGAAGAAGGATTTTAAAGGTTTTACCTCTATTTTCCCTATTGGGCCCCACCTCTCTGCCTACAGCGGGGTCAGACACACCGTTTATACAAAATTGGTTCCCCTTCACCCAAGAATGCTTCAGACCAAATATGGACAAAATCCTGCCATTCCTACCGAAGAAGGATTTTGAAGATTTACGTCTATTTCCCCTATTGGGCCCCACCCCTCAGGTCCCAGGGGGGCCACACCCACTGTTTATACAAAATTGGTTCCCCACTACCCAATGATGCTCCACACCAAATATGGACCAAATCCTTTCATTCCTACAGAAGAAGAAGGATTTTAAAGAATATTTGCTATGTTTCCCCTATTGGGCCCCACGGCTCAGGCACCTGGGGGGCCAGATCCACGGTGTATACAAAATTGGTTCCCCTTCACCCAAGAATGCTTCAGACCAAATATGGAACAAATCCTTCATTCCTACAGAAGAATAAGGATTTTAAAGAATTTGCTATATTTCCCCTATTGGGCCCCGCACCTAAGCCCCCAGGGGGGCCAGACCCACCATTTATACAAAATTTGTTCCCATTCGCCCAAGGGTGCTTCTGACCAAATATGGACCAAATCCTTTCATTCCTACAGAAGAAGAAGGATTTTAAAGAATAATTTGCTATGTTTCCCCTATTGGGCCCCGCCCCTCAGGCCCTGGTGAGCCAGACCCATGGTTTACATAAAATTGGTTCCCGACTACCCAAGGATGCTCCACACCAAATATGGAACAAATCCTTCCATTCCTACAGGAGTAGAAGGATTTTAAAGAGTTTGCTATATTTCCCCTATTGGGCCCCGCCCCTCAGCCCCAAGGGGGGGCCAGACCCACCATTTATACAAAATTTGTTCCCATTCGCCCAAGGGTGCTTCTGACCAAATATGGACCAAATCCTTTCATTCCTAGAGAAGAAGAAGGATTTTAAAGAATAATTTGCTATATTTCCCCTATTGGGCCCCGCCCCTCAGCCCCAAGGGGGGGCCAGACCCACCATTTATACAAACTTTGTTCCCCTTCCCCCAAGATGCTTCTGACCAAATATGGACCAAATCCTTTCATTCCTAGAGAAGAAGAAGGATTTTAAAGAATAATTTGCTTTATTTCCCCTATTTGTCCCCGCCCCTCAGGCCCCTGGGGGGCCAGACCCACTATTTATACAAAATTGGTTCTTCTTCACCCAAGGATGCTCCACACCAAATTTTGTTAAAATCCACTCAGTGGTTCATGACTAGTAGTGTAAAGTTGACGGACGCAGGACGACGGACGCTGCGGTTCAAGTTCAAGTACTTACAGTTTTTAGCTCACCTGGTCCGAAGGACCAAGGTGAGTTTATGCCATACCGCAGCGTCCGTCGTCCTGCGTCCGTCAACTTTACACTACTAACTCGTGGCATTTCAAAATTCATTCCCGATAGTAAGGCCAGACAAAACAAAAGGCACAGAGGGCCTGTATCGCTCACCTGTTTCTTTTGTTACATGAAACTGACCTATAGGTAACTTCAGACCAAATTTGGTAACTAGAACACCAGACATTTTAACATCTCTTAAACGCTTCTCAAGATATTGTTGTTTGAAATTTAAAATTGTTATTTTAAAGCTTTTAACCCTAGTTGACCTTTGACTACGGCTAGCACTTAAAGTCGACATTTGACCTCATTACTGTAATAAAGAAAAATATTTGCACTGCTGGTCTACATAACATACCCAAGTATCATGACACTAGACCAAATGCTTCTTAGGATATCTTCGTTTTAAGTTTTTAACATTTTTGACTTCTGTGACCTTAAAAGTAGGTCAAGGTCATTTTAAAGAGGAAACTTTATAGCACTCTATTCCTGGTACCTACTGACCAAATAGCATGACCCTGGGCCTTATGGAACTTGAAAAGAAGATTGTTTAAGCTTTTAACCCATGTTGACCTTTGACTCCGGCTAGCACCTAATGTCGACATTTGACTTCATTTCTGTAATTAAGAAAAATATTTGCACTGCTGGTCTACATAACATACCAAAGTATCATGACTCTAGTCCAAATGGTTCTAAGGATATTGTTGTTTGAATTTTTGAACATATTTGAGCCCTGTGACCTTGAAAGTAGGACAAGGTCATTTTAATGAGGAAACTTTATAGCACTCCATCCCAGGTACCTACTGGCCAAATATCATGACCCTAGGTCCTCGAGTTCTTCTTCAGAAGTCGTGTAAAAGAAAAACTTGACGGCCAGACGTCGGATGCCGCAGTACTGCATAAGCTCACATGGCCCTTCGGGCCATGTGAGCTAAAAATATGTATATTTCCTGTAACAAGTTGGTAAAATTTAGGGTAGGTAGGTAGGTAAAAAAAAATATCCTCACAAAACATTTTATATGGGGGAGTGATCTTGACTTTACCAGTGCTTCTTTAAAAATTATTTTAAAAGTTTAAAGGGTAGGCACAAACAATTAGGGTAGGTAGGGTTATGCCAAATATGTTTTGTTTGGCCTAAGCTGTGCAATAGCCAGTGGATATTATTGTATAAAGGAGGAGTCTACAATCATTCCAAGAATTTGATCTGTGACATGTAGGTCTATAGTATTCTATACATTTTTAAATACAACAATAGCTTACACTAAAGTTAAATGAAATTTATCACACATAGTTTGAAAAAGTAAATGTCAAGCGTCAACTGAAAGCCCTGGTGACAGGTAAAACTTTATTCTCCCATAACTACTATCGGTTTACTCTGCACTCCCGCTTCATTGGATAAACCTATAAGGAGTATGTAAACATTTTTGGTTACCCACTAGTAGGTTACACCCTGCCTGGACTTGATTTCATTGGTCAATTTTTTACTTATGACATCACGTAACAATGCTTTGCGACGTCATCTCTATTCTGACGTCATGATTCACAGCAATTGTTTCCCCCATCGGAAGCTGATCATGACATAGTGTATTTTTAAGGGAAACATATGGCTTTTCCAGATATAAATATGAATATAATGGAAAAAAAAGGACCCAAAACTCGTGATGGTAGGTTATCATGTTTATCTAACTCTCGTTAGTTAATTTCCAAATTGTAAAAGACACTCTGTAATCTTTGTGTCTTTATACCATTTGAAAATTAACTAACGAGAGTTAAATTAAGATAGTAAACATGGTAACCAACCATCACTCGTTGGGGAACCTCTATTTAACTAACCATACTTATCATGAAAAAGAACAAAAGGCCCATTGGACATACCTTTCTCGTCTTGACTTATCATATTTTAACCATTTAGCAAACTGTTTGCAGACTTCAAGATAGATTTATCTACAGACTACAATACTGACTTTGACAGCAAAATATAAATAAAAAACAATTTCTGAGACCTGTGAAATATTTGTTGATCATGCAAGCTTGACTTGAAGTAAATTTCAAAATGAGTAATAATCCTATCAATTCGTAACTCCTAAAAAGTTGAAGAGTATTCTATACAAATCAACATAGATAAATCTAGGTCCAGTGCTGTGTATCCTGACTCTGGGCATATTCACTTGCAGCAGATTTTGAGTTGGACTCATATATGACGTTACCTCTGAACAAATTCGAAAGACACGATGTGGAAATATATTTTTTTTGAAATAAGTAAGTCTGTTTTAAATACTTCTTGGTTGACGTTCACAACTTACCCTTTTAAATGACCAAAACATTATTATGATGAAGTTGAGTAAAAACAAGCACCCTGTCGATATACACTTCCGCAAAGATGATAATGCAAGAATTAGAAACGAAGCGCAATAGCAGCAAAAAACAACATGATAATGTTTAGGCCACGTGTTACCCAAAATAAAGAAATGTATAGAAAATTAATTATTAAAGTTTTCTTTTAATTGAAAAGAAAAAAAAATCTTTCAAAAATCTCATATGATTTAATTAATAATGGTTCGTTTTATTTTAGTAATAAATATGGAATTTGTAGTTACCACAATGGATGCGTTCCAACAAAGAGGGTGAAGCGGAACTACATCACATTTAGCGTGTTTTCTATGTGAAGAAGTATTTTTTATTCAATTGGTAGGTTTCAGCATTTTAAATTGTAGTTGATTTGTTGACATGCATCAATATATGTTAATAGCTTGATGAACTTTTAGAATAAACTGCAATTTAATCGCAGGTTACGCGGCGCCTCGTTTTGACCAATCGCAGCATGAGCAGGTGGAGGATATTGTGTATTATATCCGCGAACATTGTGTATTGTACTGTCTTGAAGTACATCGTTCACAGAATTTGTGAATATAGAGTATGCATTTGAATAAATGGATCTGGATGTTATGGAATCATATATTTTTTACCTGTATCTTATTCTATATAGAGTTATCGCTAAAGCTCTTTGGCCTATATTGGCTGGCAGTACAGTAAGGCTTATATTGGTTTTCCTTTTGATCTTTTAGTGCAATTGTTACTGTAGGTACAGTATTATGGCGTTTTCTTTCATCAAACCTGGTATCATCCGTCAAATTGGAAATTGTTACTCGTTTGAGAGGATTTCCCTACTATGATTTCAGACACAGAAATATTCTGCCAAACTGCTTTGTCAATAAAAAAAAGTGGTGGAGGGGGTTTGTTAGGTTAAGGCATTTTATGTCCACTGATATTTTGATTATTAATTGATTGAATTGCACTACTTGGGTGGTCAATTATGTTGGTGCAATGGATAACACACCCGCCTTTCACCATGCCAGCCAGGGTTAGATTACCTGAATGATTAATTGAACAGAATTAATATGGGGTCACCTGCCCAGCCACATGGGTTTTCTCCGGGTACACTTATTCTAAATTCCTGCCACATAAAGACCTCCAGACCAGCACACACGAGGGCAAATAAGAGTTAGTTTTAACGGTAATTTCAAAGTTATTATCAAGTGAAATTGCACCCTAGACCCTAGTAAAGTATATAAGAAATGCATCTATATATTTGTATACTAATGTGAACAATGTGTATTGTTCTAAATTATGAATTCATTTTGAGATGCCCTTTTTATACGCCCGTCATATTTGACAGGAGTATTATGGTATGGCTCCGTCCGTCCGATGTAAACTTTGTTTGTCCGGCAATCTCCTCCTACAGTTTTTCAACGGATCTCTTTGAAACTTGGTATACATTATAATTATGATATGAAGTTGTGTCTCCCTCAAAAGAATTTTGATTCGATTTTTTTCACAAAAGTTATTGTCCTTTGTTCATTTCAGTATTTGATTTTGTCCGGCAATCTCAGTAGGATCAATAATCATGATGTGTTGTCGTGTTTCCTTGAAAAGAATTTTGATTCCACGATTTTTGCAAAAGTTATTTATTGCCTTTTGTTCATTTCAGTATTTTCTTTTTTTTATCCGGAGATTTTCTCCTACATTTTTATAGCATTTCAGCTAACCACTCTTTGAATGATGCAGATCTTATTTCAATATAAGAAAATATATTATGGAATTCGACAGGCGTATATTGTTCCACCCCGCGGTACTCTTGTTAGCAAATGTTGCTACAAAGCAGTTTAATTGTTTTCATTCTGGACTGTCTCTTTATTTCTCCCTGGAAATGCTGGGAAAAGTTTCCTCGAATGAGGAACAGCTAGTCTCTTGTATGATTGAGGAATAATTCCCGAACTAGTTTTGGACAGTTGCATTCACTCTTCAAATTTGTACACCTCAACATATACCAAGCTTTACTGCTACAATCTTTTAAGTTTTTAACATAACATACTTGTTGATGGTTCATGTCTCTTCATCAAAACAGAAAAGAGGCAGTTAAAGACGCAGCTGAACAGAGATTCATATGAGGCATTTTGCTAACCTGATATGCAAGTTATCAAGTGTGTATTAAATGCCAGATGTCCTGTATATTCATCAATCTATTAACTTGTTGACCCCTGAAGTTCCATAGTGAACTATTCTATACTTTGAATTGGAAGGGTTCAAATGTGTCTTCAGGGGTGAATGAGTTAACTCATGAATAGAATTTTTTTTAAACACAAATCTTGTATGAAGGAAAGTCCTGGAAATTTTAATAATGTGATTATAAATTTCCCTCTTCCCAAAACAATGAGACAAACTGCTACCTGTGGCAGCAGCTGTGTCGCATTATATAGACTAGTAGTGGCAAGATTGGTGAGGGTGTCTGCAAGTAGGGTATGGAGGGAAATTTTGAATCAATAGATGCAAAATTCTGTGTTCTGGGCAAATTTCAGCTAACTATTCATACTTCAGAGAAAATTCAGTTTGAGTCTTCTCTATTCCTCCCACACAGTAGATATAGGATGTCTTGCAACATCAATGCAGTCTGACTGACTCCATGTGTTCTGATAGTCTATCATAGATATATCCTAGTACAAATTACAACAAATTTACAGGTTAAAATTGATAATTGGTTACCCTCATGACCATAGAATTGAACAAAAGCGTCTATTTTGGTTATAATTGTCCTAAAATTAGCACTGGGTTAGTTTGCCTCTAAATTTCATTAGCCCAAGCTGAAAATCTGGTAGCCCTGAAAGTCGGGCTAGGGTTACACCCCTACACAACAACAAACAATTTATGTGTGACATTTTGATGACTAGTACAAGTTCACTCTGTCATCTTCATCAAACATGGTATTTTGTTTGCGTATAATCATTAATCTACATTTCATTTCAGTGTTTAGTGGGGTTCTTCATTCATTTGGTAACATAAAACTAAAAATTAGTACACAACATTAAGCATTATTTGGCTTAATATATATATTTGAAATGTCTATACTAGATGCAAAACCATTAAAAAATGAATAAATAAGTAGATACCGGTAATAATGTTTTAAAAATAAATGGTATTGTATTGATATCTTGTATATAAAATGGAAATAGAGCTTTGTAACATAAAATAGATTCTTACACAGTTTTGCTGTATTTATAGGAGAGCAATGAAGATGAGGCCTTCGGGCGAACAGGTTCAGGAGAGCACCTTCTGCGACATCCTCCACAATGCTGTTCTTCAGGTGTGCAGGGAGAAGTACTGGGCAGACTCACCTGACTGGGAGGTGGATGGAGTCATTTGTATCTCTGTACCTCACTCCCAGGAACAACATGTGGTGAAAATCCATCAAAAATTTCCTTCAAATTCCAGCAAACACTTTGATGACAGGTGTTATGAATGTGATAGAAAGTCAAAAGATGTACCATTGCCTGCAAACGAGGAAACTACAAAGAGACACTTCAGTGAGAGTGTAGAGGAAGATGATTCTAGTTATCGCAATGTGTCCGTTATTGACTTAGAGCATGCCAGTACACAGCCAAACCCAGCACGAACTTGTGGCCAAGGAACAATTCCTCAGAGTCTGCCTAGTCCGGAAAGGGAACATGACCAAAACTCCCACAACTTCTATGCTAGTCCTGATCTCAGTGGTTTTGGGCCCAATGTGCACAGACAGAAAGACGAACATTTGAAAAATTCTGGTGGTCAGTCACATTCTAAATCAAACAATCGCACCAAAGATCAGGAACATTCCTCATCCTTTACAAGCCATCCAAGAGAGACAACTCCGCCAAGGAAAAAGACAAAAACAAAGCCAGAAGAATATGTGGTAGTAAAGGCTGAGCCTGATGATGACGAGGATTTTGCTCTCCACATGGAGTGCATCGATGAGAAGGAAAGTGACAATATTGTAGAGATCAAGGATGAAAATAATCAACGTGATTTGGCAGCAGAGACACAAGAAGACATTAACTTTTTGTTGAATGTGGAGGGTGCCAGTGCCTCTCACCAATATAACTCAGGAGACCGGTCCTGGTCTCAACGTCTCCCAACTAGCACAGTTACAAGTCAAATGGACACAAATTTATCTCCCATGAGTGGTCAAGGATCTCAGGGTTTTAGCAATCTGAATCTCCTTACCCATGGGGTGGACATAGAGGATGGCACTATGAGACTGACCACCAGGGTCCAACATCCCTCGTTTATTCCTGGTCAAACTGACTCTAACACGCCAGAACAGAGAACTATTCCAAGGCCAAGTGGGCAGGACCCGGCTTCCAATACAATAGGTAAGAACAACCAAAGTTTGTCCTTTTTTCAGAATACTTTCACAGATACCCCAAGGCCTGCTGGAAATGTTGAGATGGCAGTCAGGGGAACCACCAGTTCTGGTACTGTATATAATACCCCAAGGCCTGCTGGAAATGTTGAGATGGCAGTCAGGGGAACCACCAGTTCTGGTCCCGTTCCAACCAACAACTATCAGGTTATGGCCAGGAAAAGACTGCAACTCAATAGGGCCCGGATAGGGCTGGGACTTAAGTCAACTGCAGGATTGCTTCTTGACAAAAAGTTCTTCTGCAAATTCTGTGGCCTTGGTTTTACAAATTGTGGCAACAAGAATCGCCATGAGCGCACCACTTGCGGTGCCACCGTGTACAAATGTAATATGTGCTCCTCCGTGTTTAGCCGGACCGATAGCAGAGCGCGCCACATGTTAGCCCATCACGGTGTGTCCATCAGGGGATAACTAACAGGTAATTGTCTACCCCAACGTTGCCTTCAGTGTAGGTTTGTCTGTGCTCAGGGTTTTATTAGGTATTCAAGCTATATTACCGTATTTTTCTTAATAATTACAAAGGCTCCAACCAGTAGATACTATCCCAATAACAGGTTTATGAAGATTATGATTATATTGCTTCATATAAGCCTTTGATTCATTGTCATATACCCTGCCAGTCTTATCATAATTGTTCTCTGCCTTCATGCTAAACAAATTCAAAGGAAACAGTCCCTTTCAAAATCATGTTATTAAATGTATGTAACATTGTCAAGCAGTTGAGTTTTTAAGTGCTAATTCTTTTAATCTTTATAAACAGTGCTTATTAAGTAGAATACGGTAATTTGAGATTAGAGTTGTATTTTTAACCTGCTCATCAGTGACCAATGTAGGCCAAATTATCACTGTTTTAATCTAGGCAAATATTTCCCTCTGGAGAAAAAATCCAAAAAAATTTCTCTGAGCTAGAAACTCACTCCCTATGAATAATTCTCCAAGCTGAATGTTGTTATTGTATGAAGAAAAACCTCACAAATTGAGAAGTAGCTTAATCATAAATCACATAAAAAGTTGAGTTCTCCTAAAACATGAATTAATTAAATTGGTCCCTGAAGATGACTGGTGTTTTTTTTTAAAAATGTATGTATTTCAATAGAAGAAAATTTCAATTTAGAATTGCTTGTCATTGTATACCGATAAAACCCTGATCATCAATCACTTTATTACCAGTATTATATGTTATTAATTAAAATATATACCTGTAATAGGAAATTTACATATTTCATATTTAGTTAGTAGTCTGAGATGCTAAAATTGAAACTCAGAAACTTTTACGGCTGACAACCAGCTAATTAGACCAGATGAAATTATGTTATTGACATTTCAGTGATTATTTTTGCTCAGTTTTACCTCCGAAACATGCTGTTTCCCCTAGCTAAAATGTGCCTTATTTTTCCCAAAATGACCAAAAACTGAGGAATATAAATACAAATGTAATGCTAAATTTTCCTAATTATTAAAGGAACATCCTGGCTAATGTAAAATTTAGTTAACAAAAACACTGCATTTTTTTTGTCAGTCTGTATAGTAATTTGCAATCATTTTTGTATTGCACTGACCGTACATGTGCTATTGTGATATACATGTACATGTAATACCACTTTCCCAATATGTATGTTCTAACCATATATACTACATACAAGTACATTCCATTTAGTTTTTTCTTTAACTGCACCTTAAGTGCTATAGTAACAGACACCTGATGCATTGTGTTACTTAGTATATACCTGTACATATATATATATAGCATACATTCTACAACCGTACCAATTTTGCATCATATGATTATAATTATAGCCTATAATTGTTATCACATGATATATATGCACAATTTTCCATTACCTCAGAAAAATTCAATTATCTTAAGTATTAAAGTATTACTTGTACCGCTATGTACATGTGTATATATATATACCATTAGAACTGAGATGGAATGTACATGGCCATCTTCATTTTAATATACATGTATGGAACGTGGATACATTTACATGTACCCTGCACTAAATATGATTACCCGAGTACATGCTTCAATATTTATATGTTACATCATGACTCCTATATAAGCAACTCCTGTTGAAATACTCAAAACTTTGAGCTGGCTTCACGTATATAAGAGATTGTTGCAAAATGAAGACTGTTTTAAGATGCTGAGAGAAAACTTCAATTGCATAAACCACAGTTGTTAGAGTCGTACATGATATATATAGTGTTTCATATTGGTGCTTGCTTTTAATAACATCATAGTATTGTGTTATTTCAATATCTATGCTTAATTTACCTGCATCAACAAACAGCAGTGTTCCTCATTGTTGTTGAAACAGTACTATATGTTTTGTTATCTGATGAATGACAAATAAAAATGCATTTATCTCTACATTGTACAAATGTGTAGATATATATATATATATATAACACATACTGTAAAGAAACAGTTCCAATTGTCATTTAATGAAGAATACCTACATGTATAAATTGGTGTCATGGTGTAAAGTATGTTCCTACTAAGATACCAGAATACAAACAAGATTTAGTGATCTCAATGATTTGTAATGCACATTATTATCTGTAGCAGTTCTACTGGTAATTTGATATAAAGCAATGTATTTACCTGATTGAAACCAAGATGTTGTACAAGACCGACGTCATATATATACCAGTACATGTATACTAATCATTGTGAAAGATTGATATATATAAGTGAAACTGAAAAAATTATGTAACTAAATTAACATATTGTTGAATTATAGTATTAAAATATGAATATCAATCTTTTTCTGCAACAATACAACAGAGATTGTATGCACATTATTGGAAGAAGAAAAAATATATATATAACTTGATTCCAAATTTATTCTGAACAATGAATTAATCTTGGTCATTGATGAAAAATAAACTGAGATTGATTTGAAATTACATCATGACAAGTGATCAGATATAGCGTAATTTATACAGTGCAGCTGCTGGGGTGTGACACTGTTATACTGACAATATGCTTGTAGCTATACTTTTAATACTTGTAGTACAGTATAGGAAACTTTCCAAGTGAAAACAACTGACTTAATTGGCCAGGGGTATTCTGTTATTGTGATTAGAGATTTGGCAAAGGGGTACATGTACATCTGTACTTTATAGTGCAACTATATATATAGCTAGCTGTATTATTCTATATGCCGCCGATTCCTTGCATTAACACTGGTGCAGGACCTTAAATAAATCCTGTGTGATAGTATTAGATGTATGTATGTATATATATGTACATCATATATTTTCATACAAGTTTACTCGAGCTCAGAAACACATTGTAGATATACAATATAATGTGATGACATTGGAACTGTGAAAAGGATCAAAGGGAACAAAGATTTCCTGCATTTGAATTCAGTAATTCAAAAAAATACATCTATACCTTGTATATATCCATTATATTGATCAGTCAATTCAAATAATGTCTTCATTTTCTGAATTTCAATGCACCTGAATGTGATTTACAATGTACTGTACTAATTAGCTATCAATACCTTTCACATTCACCCTTTGAAAATTTATCTGTAGAACCTTTTAAGATTTTGTCATTCATTGTGAATCAATATATTAAATTGAGGTTATCATAGAATGGGGAAAAAAATGCACAGAATTTCAGAGCCGCTACTTATAGAATGGACGTCGTGCGCTTGTTTTGATATCGGCAACTTTTTTGTCTTCTCTTTGATGTCTGAAATTGTAAACTTTGAAGACAAACAAGACATTGGGTTGTAAGTAACTTTTATTTTATTTTTGAATTCATGAGCTTTAATGTTATTCTCCAACTTTAATTTATTTATGATTTTTTTTTAACACACTTATGTAATGAGTATTACATTTGGTTCCTATTTCTGCAGTTTGAAGTTAAGTGGACTACTACACAGTACACTGATATAGCTACAAGTATGAATTTCAGGTGAAATTTTCACAAATATCTCAAACTGAATTTACTAATGTTTCATTACAGAAATGTGTTATCATGTTGTCCAGTAGTTTGTGCTGAAAAGTATTTTTCACTTAGATTATACTGAAAAAAAAAGTTTTATGACAGTATTGTTGTAGATGGCAAGATTCAATAAAGCTTCTTAAATCACATATTTTTCTTTTCAACATTTCACATTGTAGGTAGTAGGATATCCTTACCTGTTCTATATGGCAACCCATTCCGACCAACGAGTGATGCATTCAGGAGGTCAAAGAACATTATGCAACAGATACATAAAAGTCAACACCGGATGTTGAATCCAAATCGCAGGGGAGGTCCGAAGCCAGCTGCGTACATTCGTCTGTCTTTCTACCTACTTCCAAGGGGCACTGCCATGCCCAAACTCACCAAAAACGACCCTGCCATAGCATTACACCAGCAACAGGGATATGGTAGGTGTGATATTAGTACCAGCTGTTTACATTGTAAATTAAATTTGTTCCATTGTAAGTGTGTATATTGTGTGTTGATAACAGAATGCTGTAACAGCTAGACCTGATAACAAAACCATGATGAATAGAAAATTTTATAAATTAGAAAGATTGCAGAACTTCCCAAAAATCTCCAAAAGAATTTGTGCTCCCTGAAAAACCTTTCCATTCATGTTACTTTGTGTGTAAAACAAATCGTTTCAAGGTATAGTAGTAACTTTTAAAATAATTCATCCTATATAATACCAGTAAGGGTGAATGATGTCTTAAGGGAAGGGAAATGGGTTCAAATATCAAAGTGGCTATAGATAAATAATAATAATAATAATTTGTGGTTCTTATATACCGCTTTATCACAACCTAGTTCGTAGGTCGTCTCAAAGCGGTTCACAAATTATTATCCGTGCAACCTGCAAATACCTTTCTCAACTCCCTAGGGAGTATACAGCCAGAGCTGCCATTTCGGCACTAACAGCTAGCATTCAACAATTCTAGCACTGCCCAACCACATAC